ATCTTCTGCTTTTCTTGCCACCCAAAATAGATTATTCTGTCCTGGGGGAGGGAGGAGGATGGTTAAGTGGAAGGTAAGCGACAGGCACCGCACTTTGATAGCGGCAAGAACTAAAAATCTTATTGTTGTTATAATAGCTGAGTGTGTAATTAATCATCTCCTATTGATTTGCTCTTCATCTAGATGCAGGGCACAAAGGCTGAAGGAACTCTCATGTTATTTAGCTGCTCCATCTAATCAGAGAGAGGATGTGAGTGAGACACAGCCGTGCATTAGTAACCTGTGGGATGGGGCAGCCTTGTGTGGTGGACCTTCATCCACAGAGCCAGAGAACAGCAGTGATAATGAGACCTAATCCAAATGAGCTTGGTGCTTACAATCCATGTCCCAGAGGGGCTGTGAACATCGCAAATATTGATACAGGATCAGGAGAGAGCAGGGATTGATTAGTGGTCAAGGGAGCAGGATGTCCTAATTGTCTCTGGTAGTGCTGATTAATTTGATCAGGGAAATGAGCCTTAAAATAGATTAAGGGTAAAAAGGGGAGCTTGGCAGTATAAAAAAATAAAAGCCTTTTCTGTCATTCTGGCCTTTTTGAATTATTAAGCAATATGTATCTACAGACAAAATTTATATATAAAAGCCAATATATGTAACTTGTTCTTTGGATCTTTTGTTTCTGTGGCCTGTTTCCTGATTTGACTTTTCCTGTGTTCAAACAAAATTTCGTTTTTACTCCTTTCCAATTGAGATCATATAGATTAAAAATTTTGATCAACATCTCTTTTGCATACAACGTCATGCTGCTGGCTGTTTCTCCTCTGCAGTGCCACGTGTTTCTGAAAGGTGCCACCTTGTTTTTCTAGAGGTCTTTTTTATAAGACAATGGTTATGTTGGAGATGTGAGGGGATTTAGACAGTTAACCTGAAAAGTTCCTAACCAAATCCTTTGTAGCAGTGTACAACTATTTTCAGATAACATCAGTGTATCTCTGGTGCAAAACCAGTTATCATCACAGCAGTGGAGAATTTAGCCCTGACTGTATTCTTGGCTCCCTTAAGAAAACTCTTATTTGATCTTTTCAAACTAAAACTGAGTGAGCAGACTGGTTTTCTAAACTTTTAATAACAGCATAAGGGGAAGGAGCAGCAACCAATTAGTGTTTTGAAAATACAGGATTCCAGCAAGTCGCTCCTTATGACAGGTTTCATCTATTGACTGATTTATGGGAAGATCAATAGTGTTCAGGCTGCAAATTCGTCAGCTCAGGCAATGCAGGCTGCAACATTTCATTTTTAGTGAGATGCTAACAGCTGTCTGACTTAGTGTAGAAGGTGGTGTCATTCAGGGAATCTCTGTGGAAAGACCTGAAATCAGACAGCCAAATTCGCATTCGTTAATGTTTTGATTTAAAGTTTGTGCTGTTGAAAGGAATCTTTAGGGATATCTTGATGTGTGTTTGCTCTCTCACTGCTGTTAAATCTACCTTCAGCTTCTTGTATTGAGCTGGGAAAAAGTAGGTAGGTAGGATGAGAGATTTACTTTGGCATTCCAGGTGTTGGGCAGAAAAAGAAAATGTCCCTATGACAGAGATATGATGGGCCTTTACAAATGGAAGTGTCCAAGGCCAGGTTGGACAGAGCTTGGAGCAGCCTGGGACAGTGGGAGGTGTCCCTGCCCATGGAACGGAATATCTTCAAGGTCCTTTCAAACTCAAACCATTCTGTGATTTTTTGCTAGATCTATTCCTTTTCTTTTTAAAATTCCAAACACAGGAACGAATTACATCCCGCCCGGAGATGCTTTTAATTTTCTCTGAACTTTTCCCGTTGCGTGGTGGCTCACAGGCACCACGGCCATATGATTAGCCCAGGCTGCTCTTGCTCTGTGTTGGTCTAATTATCTGTTCATTAGAATCTCAGGTCTTGAGCTGGAAGTGTGTAGGGTGTCTTTGTTTAAAGGGCAGTCTCCTAATGCAAATATTAAGAGAGCTTTCTGCCTTGCCTCAGTCAGACTGACAAGCTAATAATAGCCTTGGTGTTGGCCTTGGCTAGCACAGAGCACCAGTGCAGAAAGGTTTAAAGGGACTGGTCTATCAATCAAATCGTGGCCCATAATTTGCCTTTGAGTCTTTTGCTTGTTTTAACACTTAAACTCCTGTTAAGAAACATCTTCTGAATGCCAAGGGCACAGCAGTAAAACAGGAGCTGTTCTCTGATGCACCACTACATCCACTTGGGGCTTCAGCTCAGTCCTGGATGGTCTCTAATTAGCAGAGTGCCACAGTGCTGAATTGTGCCTTCACTAGCTGTAGCCTTGTTCCAGGAGCTGTTCTGAGGTTTGGAGGTCTCCAGTGAGTCAGATGGCACAAAAACTGCCGTGTTGACTGTGTGTGTGGGAGCCGTGAGGATGCTGAATTGTTGGAGAGGGCATGTTTGATTCCCAGCTTTGCCAGCACAGGATTACATGTTATGCAATTGCTGCAATTTAATTATAGTGTTTCAGCAGTTTTGATATCTGCCTTTAAATTATCCCAAGGGCATCGAGGAGGAATGGCTTACTTTGAATAAATCTTCATAAACATATGACTCTGCTGCTGGCTTGTTTTGTTCTGTGAGCGTCATTTGTTCCCATTAACCATATCCTAGAAGTCAATACTGCTATTCCTGGAAACATGGCAATATCACATGAGGAGGAACTTGTGGGATGGGCTCAGTGTGTCATTACAACAATTGTCAGCTCCCCTCTTTTACTTATGGAAGAGCGATGCATATGAATGTACCTTTATCTGGAAAGTTTTAGGCATTTCTAATAAAAGGAGATATGCATGAATTATCAGAACATGGTGTTCTATTCACTGGAGGGAGAGCCATTTTAAAAAGCCTGCTAAGTGAGGCATGGTTGCTAAGTAAGGCAAGGGTTTTATTAGACCAACTGACGTAATGGAAAGGAGGAAAAACAGGCAAGATTTTGGGCACACAAAGATCTTCTTTGGATGGGAAACAAATGGCAGACTTTGTGCTAAGAATGGCTTGGGAACAATGGCTCTGAACTTCAGCTAAATATGTTAAATGGGGAGGTAATTCTGGAGGGAAGGGGTAGCTGGGACATGGGAAGCATTGCTAAATGATGGAGATGACATTGGGAGTGAGGGGGAAGGCTGATTGCTTGAGGAATTTGAGGCAATCTGGAATTGGGCTGTGACCATCTCCTGTTCTGCTCTGAGGTGTTGGCACCCAGGGCAGACCTGAGGAATGGGAAATATGGAGCAATATTGAGTATGGGCTGTGCAGTAGAGGAGGAAGGACGGAGGGATGTCCATGGGCAGTGTGGTTTGGGATGATGATGATGATTGCTCTAATGCTCTAAAGCCTGGGAGAAACAGATATTCTAGTTCAGGAAAGTAACTTCTGCCAAGGTCAGGTGTTCCAGCACAAATGGATTCTTTACTTTTTTCCCATGGTGATACAGGACAACCAGAACTTACAGCTGTGGGCTTTGTTCTCCTGCCTTCCTTTACATGGGCAGCCTGAATTCCTGAGGGCTGGTTGTGCTTAAATCTGCTCTGTTCCTCCTCCTGGAGTGTTCTTGTTGGGCAGAGGTCTTCTTTACCCTGAGATGATGTCCCAGGTGCTCCCTTGGCAGCTGTGGTGGCTTTGGGAGACCTGGCTGGATGTGCCATCCTCCACGGGGTGCTGTCAGCATTCTGCACAGCCCTGGCACTGTTGTCCTGTCAAATCCTGTGGGATTTGATCCAGAATCAAGTCCAGGCAGGGCTTCTTCCACGTGTTCAGCTCAGCAGGAAAATTAATAATGATTATAGTGTTTTCTGGTTCTGCAAAGGCTTAATTTAATGATATTTGTAAACTACTTGAAGACCTGTGGGTGAAAGATATTCTCTCGTTAGCAAGGCTACCTTCTGTGGTGTTCAGGCTTCATAGGAGTTAAAAACCACCATAAATCCTGAATGAGAGGTGAACAACATCCACTGTAAGTGATGATGACCAACTGCCAGGCAGCTCTTGGGCTAGAACTGCTCTCTTATTAGTGCCACCCCCAGGTTTTCTAGCACAGGGTCATGTTCCTACCTGTGACAGAGGAAACAAGTGTGACAGGGTGTTATTTGATTACTCTCTAGCTTGGAGAGTGCTCAGACTGAAATTTGGGGAGGGATTTGTCTGCTGAGTGGTGTTGTTGCCAGGGTGGGTATAGAAGGTCCCTGTTCCCCCCTGTGTTTGAGTTACTGAGGCTTGTGCTTGCAAAGCCCCACCAGGCTGTCCTGGGGGATTGGTGATTAAATTATTGCACTAACAATCTATAAACGACTCAAAAAAACCCAGTGAGTTAATTTCATTCGTGTCACAACAGGATCCTGCCTTCAAAGATGACAAAACTCCTCATTCTTGATGGTTTTATTTAGACCTTGAATGTTTGCTGCCGTTGTTTTCTGTCATGCAGAATTTCCTGATTTATACCAGGGCAAAGAAATTGGGATAAGGCAGACAAAATCTCTACAAAACCATCAGCATGTAACCTTTTTTTTGACCCTCCGTACCTCCTGCAATCCTGCTATTTTTGTAACTCTGGCTAGGTAGCAGGATGAAGATTACATATCATCCTCCAAAGCAGCGCTTTTATTTTGGTCTTGTTATTTTAAGAATAATCAGCAGAGAACAAGGATACTTCCTCTTACCAATTTCATGTGTTTCCCTGAGGGGACTGATGGCGAGGGGGGCTCTTACAGAATATTCAATTTCCCTAGCAATAGTTTAGATAAATCCTATCTGCCCTTGAATCTGTGGTAAATCTTTCATTGGCTTGTGTGGAATTTCAGTGCATTGTTCACATGCTGCCTTCCAAGGCTTGGGGCTGCAGTGTGTTCAACCAGTAAAAATTCTGGTTCAAACTCTTACACCCATCAGAGTTTTATGTGTGTTTCTCTAGATGTCTAAATTTGGTGTTAGAAATAAAAATTATTTTTTTCTTTGCCCCCCCCCAGGCCCAATGTGTGCCCAGTGCTGGAGCTGGCTCTGGTGGGACACCAGGAGCCCTGTATTCAGTCCTTCAGTCGGATGGTCAGGATGTGGAAGCAAGGCTGCACGAAGAGGAGGTGGTGTGTGAGCTATGAGAGAAGGTAATGTATTATCTATTGTTATAAATGGGTTTTGTTGCTAATCTTTGTGCAAGTTCTTTAACTTTTTTTGTGAGATAAGTTGTCAACTGTTTCATCTGAAATGTGTGGTTATGGACATAGAGTTCTCCTGAGATTTGACTTGAAATCTGTTATTACTGAGTAGAAAATGTGGCTTTTTAATGTGTTTTGGGTTGCTCATGAGCTTCGTGGCTGGCTTTAGATTCAGAATTTCACACTATCAGAAAATGTTCCTGTCTTGTTCTTGCTCAGGTGAAGCCCAGCTGTCAAGGCATTGACTTTGAAAAATTGAACTTCTTTCTATTTCTGTCACATGCTTGGAACTGATGGGAGATCCGAGTCCCCCAACAGCTAAACCCAAAACTGATTGGAAAAAAAAAAATTACTCACCTTTGGCTAGCTTAAATATAAAATCTTCAAAATAATGTGTGGACACAGCATGTCAGAGATATTTGGTGTTATCAGGATGCAATTTGCTGTTTCTCTTAGTTTTTAATGAGAACTCCTGATGGAGGCTGAAAAAAGTCTCCTAAATATGACATATGAGTCCAGCGTGCTGCTGGTGAGGTGGGAGTGAGTTTAGTGGGAGCTGTGGTTGCTCTCCTAACCTTCCTGTCCCCACAGGTCTGGCTACTACACGGTTTACAAGCAGGTGTACAGGATGGAGCAGCAGACTGTCTACAGGTGCTGCCCCGGCTGGGCCCAGCAGGACAAGGAGCCTGGCTGTCTGCACTGTGAGTTGGGACAAAACTGGGGCAAAACCACAAAGTGACATCCTCAGGCCATGCCTTCCTACTGAATCCCCACTTCTAGATGCAAGGGTTTTGTTTCTTGTGGTTTGCCACTGGCATTTCCCCAGTGACGGGGGAAGAAATGTCCTTTGAAAAGATAAAAGTGCCCATGTAAAAGCAGCAAATAGCTCTAATTTTAATCCACATAATTTAGATTAACAGTCTAAACTCTAATTGGAGTTGTTGCAGCATTTTTGTGCCAGCCTGGCTTTGACAGGCCAACCAAATTTATTGCTGTTACCCAAATTATGCAGAGAAATCTGCTGTGAAGCACTTTTCTTGGGTGTAGCTCTCACTGCGGAGTCTGATTGGTTTTGGCATTTTCCCTTCTGCTGGTGCCATTGAGGCAGTTTTATTTCTACTCTGTGGTTCTCCATCTGATAAGAACCCCTTTTCTGTCACCAAATTCTAATAATGATTGGATGTTTTCCTAAAAGGTGGAATTTAATTTAAATTATAAGGCAGCACTTCAGCCACTGTTAACAAGACATCAGTAGAAGATGGCAACCTACTCAGTGTTTAGTTTTGTTACTGTTTAGTCAGTAATTGTGTTTTCTGTATGAAAGTTAGCATCTGTTCTTATTTATTTTTTAATCTTCATACCAACTTCAGGGCTACATTCAGAGAGCTTGCTTTTATGGTTGTCTCTGTGTAGTTAAAACACAAAAACAAGCCTGAGAGGTATTCCTGTTAGTTTCAGTCTGAATCTTCATATTTAGTGTGCACCTGTTTAGTCATAAGAAGTCAAAAATATGCTTACAATCTGTGTTTTAATCTCTGGTGTAAAGGAGTTTAAGGTATGTGAGCACCAGTGGCAAAATGAAATTTTCTTCCTGAAAGAGCAGTGCAGACTTGCTTTGAATTCTTTAAGGCACCAAAGTGGTTGAATTACTCTTTTGTATTTGATATTCTTTGCAAGTTTGGCTTAAACATGTGGAATTTAAGTTGTTGTAAATAAAACTGTTCTGTGGTAGAGGAAGGGAAGAATTGCAATTCCCCTTTCCCCTCCACATATATAATGTCTCCCAGTGCATCAGTGGTTTTTAACCATTCCTCCATTGCTGTCTGGCAGTTCTTCTGATTTTATTTTGGATTCAGGAAGTGCTTTGAGTCCTGTCTTTTGCCTCTGAAGCACCTTCAAGTTAAACTGAAATATCCAAATCTTACTTTTATTAAATTTCTTCATATCAACAAGATAGTCACACCTATGATTCCAAGTCCTGCTGCAGTCCAGCCTTTGCACTTCAATAAAAATCTGGGTTTCTTCTTATTTGGAAGTTGATGCTGCAGCAGGACTGAGCCAGAAAGGCAGTTCTGGAGGATCCTTGGCACAAACCCAGCTGAAATAGCCTGTCCTGTTCTGTTTGTGTGCTCTAGTGCTCTGCACTGCTGGCACTTGCTTCAACGGAGGGAAGTGCTCTGGAGAAGGATCCCAGGTGTGCCAGTGTCCTGCAGGATTCCAGGGGCCTCGCTGCCAGTATGGTGAGTGCATGGGGATTGTCTCCAGGGCATCTGGTGTTTGGGTAAAATGCTACTTCAACAGTAATTGTTAAAAGAATAATATTTTATTAATGTTGGCTTAAAATTAAAGGTGCCTCTGCTGCACTTTTGAGTGGTTATTTGATCATTCTCTCTCCTTTTTTTTTTTTTTTTTTAATTTGGTATTGAATTTTAACAAAGGAAGATGAAAATTTAATTTGATTGACGTGAGATGAGTGAGTGTCTGTGGTGGATAATATCACTGAATACCAGCAGAGGTGTCCAGTGGAGTACCTGTCTGTTGCTTCTCAACTTGAATGTTCCTGTGGTGCTCTTAGTGAATTTCTCAGCCCTGCTTTTACCTTTGTGAGAGGAAATTCTGAGTCAAAGCAGGTGGGCAGTAGGTGAAGAATGCAGCAAATGAGCCACTGTATTTGTTCATGGGATATTTTTTTTTTGTGCATCTCAAAGTAGGAAGGTTTTGTAGCTCACTACCAAATATTTCATAGTATTCCTGGAATAATATATGCACCAATCTTTCATTTCACTGTGTTCTAGCATACTATAGTCTGAATTCTGTGTGACTTAGACTCTATCACCCACTCTCAATGAGAATCTTTTTTGTCTCACACACTGGCTCACAATTTGATAAACCCACAATGGGTTCTCTTGTAATTTACCACACTGTGTAAAGCTCTCCAAAATTACAGCACTGCATCCATTTGGCTTCTTAAGGGAGGGAAGAAAGTCATTCCTTCAGAGTAGGCTGTGATTGGGACAAAGGGTTTCTTTTGTATTAGGCAAATGATAATTTCCTTTTCAACTGAAGCATATTGTGCTTTGTTCAAAGGAAGGCAGATTTTTAAGTATTTCGTTTTTTCCTTTTTAAATTCTAATATGTTCGTGTCCTCACCTGGCTTGTCTGTCAGGCAGTGTGAGTGAGAAGGACTATAACAATAAATAAAATGCAGAGCTGTTTACAATGGAGCTGCTGCTGCCTGCAGACAATTTCAGCTCAGTTGAGCTGTGATTGGGTGTTTCTTTACTTGCCACAAAAACAAGTTTATGTGGGTGAGTTGAGGTGAGCCAGGGTGACACCGAGGCAGCCTGGTTGTGATTAACTTACAGAAGAGCTGCTGCTCCGAGGTAAGCAGGATCAGAGTCTCCAAAAAGGCCTCCTAATAAGTTATTACCAAATGGAATACATCTCAGCAAATTATAAATTGTCCTTGCCATAATAAATTGTATTTTGGTGCTCCTTTTGCTCGGAGATACCTGTGGAGCTGAGGCATTCCCAACTTGTGGGTAGCCCAGGTCAGATTTTCAAGCTGCAGGGGGATTGTGCAGTCTCTGTGTCACAGGTTGGTGACTGCAGCCCCTGCAGGAACAATGAGGGGCATCCTGCAGTCCCTGCTCTTCTCACCTGGGTGGAACTTTTATCTCCACTCGTTTGTCTGCTTCCCACTGAGTGCTGAGGTCTGAATGGAGTTCCAGGAGCCATCATTCCCAGGTTTGTACAGCCGCCGCTATCGCAGCCTGGCAGGAGCAAGTTTATAAATTGGATTCTGAAGGGAAAAACCTTCCTTCAGGAGGAGTGTTATGGACCATTCACCTGCCTAACAAAAGCTAGGTAATTTAGAGTGTAAGGCCCCTTAACTGTTGCAGGTGCCTCCAGTCAGATTCTTCTGAGCTTTGTATCATATTGGTGCGGGCTAAAGGAAGGAGAAATGTACTGTGGGACTGACAGCCACAGCCTCCAGTTTTCCTGGCTGATGTTGGAATATTGCTCTTAAAGTAGCTTGGATTTAATGCTTGAGAGCTGGTTTCTTTCTTTCAAAGAATTAAGGAGTCCATCACTATGATTCTGAGGTGAATTTGGTACTCAGTACTACCAATTTTTATAAGAGCAGCAATTAGAAGTTAATTAATTTTTAATTATAATAGATTATAAATGTTTTTCTGTTTATTAGTTTTAGTTGTATTATGTTGTAAATGTTTTAAAGTTAATGATTTAAAATTATTTTGTGTGGGTTTTATTATAATGCATTTTTTCTAGTTTTATTTTTTTAAAGTGTCTAGTTTTATTTGTAAGGCTTTTTTTCAAACTTGTTTTTAGTTTAATTTTTTAAAATAATGTTTGTTTTACTTTATGAAATTTTTAAGTTAGTAATTTTAATTTTAAGGTTTGTATATAGATGTGTACTATGTGAGTTTTTTGTCAGGCTTTGAGAATTTTCTATAAATCCATTTCCCACATTTGTAATCTTGGCTTCTGTCACTTCTGGTATTGTGGCCTCCTGTCAGTTTCCTGACATAGGAGGAACCACAGGCATTTCATAGCTGCACTTGAGCTCATTTCAGCAAAATTGCTTCATGTATCCCATTTTATATCTCCCCCTCTCCAACCTTTTTGATTTTCTTTGTTTCTGCCATCAGTGTTGGCAGCTGATTCTGAAGTTTCACTTATGCAGCAGCTCTCATGGTTTCCTTGCTGGGTGCTGTGAACTAGAGACAATAGACAAGAAACTAGTACAAAAATATTACTAAATTCAATTACTCTAAGAAATAAATGGGAACATACATCTCAGGAAACTTCTAATCATTCTTTTTGTGGGGTTTATATTTGCCATTGAGGCAGGGAGTAGGTCGTTGTCCTGGAAATGAAGTTTTGTCTGAAGAAAGTTTGTGATGGATCCTCCAGGATGGCTGATGGCAGCCCAGTGCCTCACAGCCCTCTCAGCAGAGATGATTATTCACAATTTTCGTGAGAGCAGCTAATGAGAGCAGCTAATGACTTTTTAAAGGAGTGATAGGGTGTTTCTGCAGCCTGGGACACGACACAATCCTGCTGAGATGCTGCAAGGGTCAGGGCTCCTGTAACAAACTTAATGCAAGTTTGTGTTAATTGTTTTTAGAAAAGTGTTACTGCCTCCCTTGTACACATCACTCCATGGTTTTATGATTTTACCCACACAAGCAGCAATGCAAAACTTAGGAGAAAGATTTATGGGTGAAATGGTCGAGTTCTTCATGCAGCCATTGCAGGGACTCGGTGACAGATTGAGCTGTCTCCTGCACTGTCTGCTGAAATTTGTCTTGTAATAATAGACTTATATCAATTACAATGTAAACTTGCAAGCTGGATTTCTTTCCACTTTCTGAACTTGTTTGGAAGTCGTGACCCACGTTTGTCCCATTTGAGAAAGGGAGGGAAAACCTGTAGCAAAAAAGAGAGAAGGTAAAACCCAGTGCCAAGAATGAATTCTGCTGCAGTGCTGGTGTCATTGATATTCACTAGTTGTCCTGGTGATCTTGTTCAAGGCCTGGTGGCCACCTGAGCTGGACATGGGAGTGAATGAATTTCATTCAGCTTGGTTAATTGAGCCCTGGGACTTTTACTTGGACATGCAGCCACTGAAAACATCCCAAATTCTACAAACAAGGGTGTATTTATTTACTCCTCGTGTACATAGAATTGCTCAGTGGAAAATGAAGGGTTAGTTTTGACTCTTAAGTGTTTTGTCATCAAATCTCAAGCTGTTGATGGTTTTGCTGAGTGCCTCCTGATGCGTTTTAAAACATGAAGTAAAAAACCAGAATTAGAACTGAACAGGCTTTGTAATTTCTTGACTGATACAAAACCCGAGCATGATTAACGTTTTGCAAGAGGCCCCCATAATTATGAAAAAATAAGTACAGTTGAGCCTATCTGAGACAATGGATGTATTTGGAAGGGGTTTAAAAATAGGTGAGGAATGACCAGGGCAGACTTGTCAGCAAAGTCATCTCATGGTGGCACGGTGTTTGCCCTCTCCAAAGAAAGCTCAATGCAATATTCCAGTGCCTAACATATAAAGTGTCAATAGATAAATTTTTAATTTTTACACTACTGCTTGCTGTCACACAAGTGGAATTTTAGGTTCTTTTGCAGTGCCTGGTGCAGATCATTAAAGATGCTTCCCCAGCACACATCTGGAGAGGCAGTGTGCTCTGCTGGCTGCAGGGCTCACCTGATAAGAGCTTTCTTTTCCACTGACCTTGGATATTTAGTGCAGTAACTTTTAGCAAATTACCCCTCTCTGCCTGGGCTTTGTTGTACATGAAATGTTGATAATGGTGGCTCATTCCTTCGTCAGGTGCTTTGAGACCCAAGTAATTAAGTGCGAGATAATGGCGCTGGAATGTGTGTATAAAGGCAGGATGCACACTGCATGGGTAGCTAAATGAAATGCTTATGAGGGAGATATTCATCAGTTCATTGACTAGCTGTCAATCTCTGCCTTCACTCTGGTCACACACTATTAAGATATTGAACTATATAAAGATTCTGGTAAACAAAAATACCAGCATTTCCTAGAGCAGGTAGATCAGAGTTTACACTGTAAAGCTGCTTAAAATAAAGGGTTTTTTTTAAAAAAACCATTGATTAAAATGGCAAGAATTCTGATATATTTTCTTACAAATAACAATATTCTTTTATTTTACTGTGAAAAAGAATTTTCTTCCATTTTCCTCTAGGAAATGTTTCTTCCTGCAAAGAGCTGTTTGATACAACTTCTGATTAATGTCCTGTCTGCCATCCTGGTCTCTAAGCTTTTCTTCTTTGAGGCTGGAGACCTACACAAGCCTTACAGGGCAGTGTAAACCCATGAACCAGTGCTACAGATTTTCCTTCTTTAAAATAGCAAATGGCAAGCTCCCATGGATCTGTTTGCCATAGGGATGTCTTCAGTTTTCATGGATCTTTGTTTCCCCCTGAAACTATGAAATGTTTAAATATTTGTGGGGGTAAATTAGTTCTGATAGCTGGGCCCTCATTGTGCCAGGGTTTTTGGCATTTTGTTTTCATATTTTGGCTGTAAGTCCCCTGAAGTCTTACCTGAACCAACCTTTTTGACTTGAAAATTTGCCATTAGCCCATAGGGTGAGTGGAAGAGGATGGCACAAAAGATAATTTATGCTCAGCTTGCTCTAGTTTAGTGCACATAATACCTTAAAGATAC